AGGTCCCAGAGGGGATGCAGTGTCAGAGCTGACCTGCCTGATGGGTACTCGTGCAGTATCTTTGAGAGCCAGTGTTTGTGCTGACAGTCCGCCCACTGCCAGGCGGCCCTTGGGCGCAGGGATGTGCTCTCTGCCTAGCTCAGTGTGAATAGTGCAAGGTGGTACAGAAGGGCCTTCTGCAGTGCCGCCCCCGAGGCCTGGAACACGCCCCTTCCTGGGGCAGCAAACTCGCCCCCTCTCCTTCGTCAGGCCCCCCGCCCCAGCTCCCTTTTCCTGGGGGGCCCCTCAGTGTTACTCCCAGGAGTCTCGGGATGAGTCTCACACACAGGGAGGATGTGCCAGCTCTGCAGTGAGACACAGCTGTGGGCTCAAGGTACTCGCCAGCTGGGGGAGAGGGAGTGGCTGCCTGCAGCCATCGGAGGCGAAATGGTCACCTCAGAGCTGCAGCTCCTTGTCTGTCCCAAACGGAAAAGGCCAGCGACCACAACGTCTGCTGGGAAAGGATCCTGGTCAAGGCAGCGTTCAGGGCCTTCTGCTGCTCCAGAACTAGGCCAGCCGGACCATCCTGTAGCTCTGGTCTGACCCGCCTGCCACAGACTAGGGCATTTCCCCGCTGATCCCTGTATCCAGCTCCTTAGGCTGGACTTGGCGAGGGAGCTCCCAGGGAGATGGGGTCTCCAGCTCCCTGCCCTCCGCCCCCAACACAAAATCTATTACACGCCTCGGCCAAGAATTCAGCATGCACTGAAACTTCCCAGGGCTCTCCTGCTCAAGGAAGTTCCTTCCCCATGGCCCGGGCGGTACCCGCTTGGGGGAGAAGGGGGAGCTGCAGGGCTCTTGAGGTCAACCTGACACCTGCTGCCTGTACTCTAAAACCCATCCCAAATCGTGGCCAATGGTCCCTAGCCTGGGTGCTGCCCCAGCGGGCACCAGTCGGATACAGGCAGGTGGCAAAGGAGGCACATTTCACGCTGCTTTCTGCCTGGATCCATGCTGCCAGGCAGGGAAGCTGCTGGCCATGCAGTGCTGGTCTGAATGGGAGCCCTGAGCGGCCGTGTCTCTTCCCTGCAGTACCGGAAGCCCCCAGGAGATCCTGGCTGCGGAAGAAGAGCTGCAGAAGGAGCTGAAGAAGATCAAGGCGGCTAACGATGGGGACGGGGAGTGCAAGACCCAGTAGGCAGTGGCGTGGGGGGGGGGGGGGTTGGGGGTTCTCCTGGCAGAACTGTGCACTATTTATTTGGATTTTTTCTAGTAAAATGATTTCCACAGGGAGGTTGCTTGGTTTGTGAGAATCGGCCACACCGCACTCAGGTCTGGGGACACAAACCTCAGGGCTGCGTCCTCTCCCCGCTCCCTCTCGGATGACTAGCACTGAGCTACGCAGTCCCTCCGGCAGCATGGGAGGCCAGAGAGTGAGGGAAATAATGCTTTCTCCTCCCCCAGGAGCAGAAGCTCCGAGCTCCCCCTGAACGCTGTGGAGCTATTTGGAGATGGCTCCCAGCGGCGCTGACCCAAAGCAGGCAGGGGGTTGGGTTTGTGCCAGGAAGAGCAGGCTTTGCAGGGGCTCCCCTGCCTGGTTGTGTCAGAGGAGCTCCCGTCATTCCGGGGAATCTTTGGCTGTCTCCCCGTTGCCCTGGCTGTGAGGGGCTGGTGTCCGCTCCCTCGAGCGGTGCACTTCAGAAGATGATCTTGGGCCTTAACCACCTTTGCAGACAGTGCCAGGAACCGCCCAGCAAGTCCCTCCGAACACAGAGCAATGCAGCCAGGGAGCAGCAAGTGGGGTAAGCAGGGCAGGCCAGGACGTGGCGTATGGGGCATTGCCGGGAGAAGTGACTGTAGTTAGTCAAGGTGCAATTTGGCCGGCACAGTGGGGCCAATAAACCTGCTCTTTCCCATAGCACCAGGGGCCCATAAGTGCTCACAGGCGGTTTCCCGACTCCTCCGAAGTCATGCTGGGCCCCTGGGGAAGAGCCCCACCTACAGCTCTGCTCACTTCTTCTCACACCTCACCTCAGCCCTGGTGCCCTCCAGCTGACAGCAGGCTCACCACGGCCACCCCTCTAGTTCCCTCCTCCAGCCAGGTCAGCCCTGCACCGCTCAGGGGAGATCTAGGTTTACTTGGTCCTACATCAGAACAGGGGGCTGGAGCTGATGACCTCTTGAGGTCCCTTCCAGCCCGACATTTCTGGAACCTCCCTCTCCAAGTCCCAGGGCCCACCCTTGCAGAGTCCAGCCCTGCGAGACCTACACCTGCCAACTCCTCCATACAGCACTTTGCCCACTCCCACATCACTGGCAGACCCTTCCCCCCTTAAAGGTACCACTCTCTGGTTCTCCCAGCAGGGGATGGCCGATTGTTGTCTCTTCACTTATAAGCTACACAGAGCAGGGATGGCCTTATTCGTTATAACCGCTCCTGCCTGGGTTTCCTTGGCCATGTCCCCATCCGGACACTGACCACGCCCCTGGCTGTTAGCCCATGGGAACCGACAAACACAGCTTGAGGTCAGTTGAGCTTCCTAGGTACAATGTCGACGTTCAAAAGTCACCTACGGTCCCCCAGAGCAGCAGTGAGAGCCGTGACAAGTCTGCACCTGTCTGTCTCCTGGGGTAGGAGGGGGGCCCACTTTGCAAAGCACTTTGTGGAGGGGCAGCTGTGGTTCCAGCCCTACACCTGCAGCTGGCGAGTGGCACAGGGCAGTTTGAGTTCTTTGCCCTGGCACACAGCCACGCTGCAGGAAAATCCCGTGTCGCTAGGCTGACAAGTCAGCAGGGGATGTGCACTCAAGGGCAGGCAACACCGATTCTAAGACAATGAGAAATGGGTAGTGATGGTGCGGAGAAGAAACACCGCCTCCTGGCGGGCACCCGATTGTTAACATTCCACCATGTTGAAATGTGACCCTTTATTCCTACTCAGCTTGGCTGGTTTCTGATCCAGGACAAAACTTTACCCCTCACCCCCTGGCTACTTATGGTTTCCTTAATAGCCTCTCACAAGGGACTTGGGCAAGGCTTTTTGAAAGGCCAAATGAATTAGATCCCCCAGTTCTTTCTCCACTATTTCATTAAATTCTAACCGCTTAGAGATGCTACTTTGTCCCAATCATGGTCACACAGAAGTTGTATACTTCTGTTACTCCCAGTTTGCCGAAGTCAGGCTCCCCAGTTTAATTCACAGTAGCACCCTCTGGGCCGTTATGAAAAGAAAAACTCCATTGAGTAGCCTCCAACCTTTGGGTCCAGGAGCTGTTTTTTAATGAGATTTCCTAAGTGTTAGCAGCTCAGCCACTTTACCCTGACGTGCCTTTAGACCCGGGGGCTCCATCCCATCCAGTCCTAGGTTGATAGAATTGGTTTGAGTAGGTCCCTCGTTTGCAGAGAAGACCTCACCGTCTGACAGAGCCTCATCTTTACGCTCGGAAAAAAGAGCAGGTCGCCCCCCGAGAGGATGTTGCGAGGTGAATAAGGAAAAGAATGGTCACTTATTGCTGTTATGATTGGTGCCTCATTGGCCTGGAAGCAAGGCCAGCCTGCATGGTGGGAAATGCAGGCAGGGTTGTCTCGTTTCAGCTCGCTCACTGGAGCCCTCGCCACCTGGGAGCCAATCACCAAAGCTTACCCAGGGACTCTGTTACTTCTATCAAAGAAATGAGGAAAACCAGCAGCCGCAGGGGAGGAGTTTTACGCACCTACAGTATCACAAACCAGCGAGCCCACGAGAGGTGCCTCGCAGAGGAGCTTGGCTCAGCTGATCACAGCACGAAGCTTAGCAGGCTTCTCCTCCTTCACGTCAGGGATACTCCCAAAGTACAGACCAGTGTAGCCTGAATGCAGAGGTGCAGCTCACAGAGACAGGTCCCAGCATGCAGTGCTCCAGCTACTTAAAGACAGAGCAATGCATGCTGGGATCTGTAGTCTTTGTAAGATGCAGCGGTAGTCCCAGTTAGGGCATCTGCGATCTGCTCCATCTGATGCCACTTAGGCTGCCCAGGAGGCCCTACATTTGGAGAACTCGGATTTGCTGCTGTCGTACCCGCAAGGCCAGGGGGGCTGAACAGCTTCAAGGCAAGGCAGGGAACGGGGTAAGTCTCTCCTGTACCCCATCCAGCTCCAGGCAGGGACCTGCTTTGCAGGTGAATGGCAAAGAGGTCCCAGCCTGGCGGTTCTGCACGCCCTGTGCAAGAGAGCAGAGCTGGCGATTCCAATGGCATTGCTTGCCCCACTCCAGGGTGCAGGATCGGACCGATCGATGTAGAGGTTAGGGGCAGATTACGGGCTTGACAAAACATCTCCCTGTGAAGGCCCAAGGGCAGGATTCCCTGAGCCCCTTTCCTGCCCTGAGATCAGCGGGTTCGTGGCAGAGGAGGAGGCTGTGGGTTCCAGACCTGCAGCCCGCTGGACATTTGCCATCTACACACAAGAAGTGAAACTCAGACAGGTGCCCAGGCTCCAGACACTTGGGCCGTTTTGCACGTGAGCCTCTCGCGGTGCACGGCTCAGGCAGCGGCATTGGGAACAGCGGCCCCCAGTGTCTGTTACCAATTCGGGAGCCTTACGCAGGTTCACAGAATGGAGTCTCTTCCGTTTCCCTTTGACATTTTATTTAGCAAACTGAGACTGCCCCAACCCAACTGACCACGTGCTCCAGTCCCCGATAGCCGGCCGGCAGAGCCGAGCTTTGGTAGGATTCAGCCAGAGCCTGCCGAGGTTTCAGCTCCCGGATCCATTCCCGTTCGCGGTTTAGGAGGCTGTAACAAAAAGCAGTCAGGACAGCCGGGGCAGGTTCAAAGATGGCTGCGCCTGGCTGTTCGGGGCTCTGCCCCTGCCTCCCAAGCAAAATGCACTGCGCACACAGTCCTAGATTGGCTCTGCACTGCTCAGTGCCCGGGAGCAGCGCTGCCCAGCTGACGGGAACGTCTGCGCGGCTCTCCCAGCTGACCCGCTACCGTCGCGCACACAAAACCAAACCAACCTGAACTGTACAAAATAAAAAGGAGTAAAGGACAATTTGCCTTTATTTAAACTAAAAGGCAGGTGAGTCGGAGACAATCTGGCTCTTCCAGCGCTCAAGGGAGATGCTTTCTGGCCGCTAAGGAATCCCTTGAGAAGTCTCCATGGCCGTTTGCCTCTCTCCCGCCCTGCAATCCCTGAGCGGAGCATCAGACCTGCCAACCTGGGAGCGGCCAGAGGCAGCTGTGGTGCGGGAAGGACCTTGGCCCGGGCATCAGGGGGCGGTGAAGTCCAGGGCGTGCAGGGCAGACGCCAGGGCAGCATAAAGGTGGGTGGTGCTGAAGCGGAGGCAGTACACGGGGCTGCTGGTGGGGGAGGACAGCGAGAAGCTCTGCAAAGAATGAGACATGAATCACTTCTCCGACCAGCAACCGGAGCAGCCTCTTCCGAGTCAGGTACCTGAGTCACGGGCTGCCATCGTGCCTAGCAAAGGGAACTGGCACGCTGGAGACAGGACTCTGCAGAGGGGAGTGTTCCCATGGGGGGTCCCGCTCAGAGAAACTCAAATTTAGGGCTATCAAACTGACACCTCTCAGCAGCCCCGACATCCTCTGCTGGGAGAGGAGGCACAGCCGGGCCATGGTAGCACAGGCTTTCCGCCTGTGCCCCTCCGCCTTGTTCTGCAGACACTAGGGCGAAAGGGGGCCTGGTCTCGGGGCCGACTGGGGGGGCAGTTTCTGCAATTTGGGGAACTGCACTGAGAACCACAGCTCATCGCACGCAGGCAGTGCACGGCCATCGGACGGGAACGACTTCCAGTCCCCACCCACCTGTGGTCTCCGGGGGGGAAGACACCGAGTCCAACCTCCGTACTCTGGGCTGTCCGGTCATCGCGCTGCTCTCGAGGCAGACAAAAGCCAGCAGCCTGGCCCCGCGCAGGCAGAGTTAGATACCGAACGGGCACAGAAGGGAGGCTCCTGGGCCCGACGTCACCTTCCATCACGCCTCACCTGCAAACACCTGCTCTGCCGTTTGTCCCAGAGCCGCACCACGCCGTAATATGCGGAGCCGCTTGCAATCATGTGATTCCCATCACTCCTCACGCAGTACAGGGCACTGTCGTGGGGCTCCTCCCACTCCATGACACACTTCCTGTGGGTGGGAAAGAAAAGCCGAGGTAGCTACCTGGCAGCAGGAAACCGGGCTGAGCGCCGGCTCCCCAGCCTCTGCCAGAGGAAGTCGGGAACCCGGACTGGGGCTGGATTCCAATTCCCGCGGAGGATTTGTCTCAGCGGGACGCACCGCCCGGCTGTCCAACCACGGGGCGTGTTTACCTCGTGCTCACGCGCAGGTCCCAGGACCGGATGTAGGTATCGTAGCCGCAGGACAGGAGGGTGAACGGCGTTTCGTAGACGATGTCCAGGACTCCGGCTCCTCGGTGGAAATCGGTCCCTAAGCAGGTCACCAGCTGCCCACTGGAAAGAGAACCAGGAGGGGGACTGCTCACTGCACAGCACCAGGACTCTGCGTGGTATAACGCGGCCTTCGGGCGCCTCTCCCCAGTGCACAGCTGCTACTGCCATGGGACTAGCAAGAGCCCCTGAAGTCCCAGGGGCTCCAGGTCTCCTGGACTCGATGCCAGGCCCCTCTGTGGAGGGAGAGAGGCACGGGCTCCGCCCTGCCTTCCCTGGAGCTAGTCACCCTCGCCCTCCTCAGCACTGGTGGGGCAGAGGGGCGATGGGTCCCAGCAGGGCTGTCCCAGCACCGAGGTCTAGCTTTTAACAACGTGCACAAGCCCTCAAAGCCCCTGCATCGCCTCCCCAGACACCAGCCAGGAGGGGAGCCACTGGGGGCTACATTGGAGGCTGAGGTGTCGCCATTGGTCCCTGGTGGAGAAGACTCAGGCCTTGCAGAGGGGGACTGTGCAGCCCGGCTCCCAGCCAGGCCGGATCGGTCCCTACAGCAGGGCTAGGAACGGGGCCAGTTTAGTTCCAACCCCCTCTGCTGGGAAACTTGCCCTGCCTTGGGCTCTCTGCCTCAGGAAGCTGCTCCTAGGACACTGACACTCTTCCTTCCATCCTGCCAGCCCTAGCACCCCCTGGCCAGGCGCGATCCTCACACTTCCCCCGCAGCCCCGCCTCACACAGCACGTGGACAAGCCCCCAGATCGTCCTTGTTGCTCTTCTCTGCACTCCCTCCGCATCCGCCTTGCGCCCCGCGCTCAGCACTGGGGGTCACCCCAACTCCATCCAGCGGGGAACAGTCGCACCACACCCCTCTGCAACCCAAAACTGCACCGGCCCGACTGGAGCAAACCAGGAACCCCACGATGCCTTTCCCACCCTCAAATCCAGCTGGCTTGTGCTTCTCTCAGACATGACCCCCGATCCATACTGGCTCTGCACAGCCACCGAGAGCGGCTGTGAACAGGGAGCCTCCCAGGGCTGCTGAGAAGGTGGCTTGGGAATCCCTTTCCTAAGGGCAGCGACCACCTGCGGCTCCTGGCACATCCCAGACGAGGGCTAGCTCCTCTCAAGCTCGACCCTCCAGCCTTCCTCCGCCGCCCCACAGGCCAAAGACACCAGCCAACCGCAGCTTCTCGGCCACGCTAGGGAGACCCTGACCAGCTGCTCGGAGGGGCCAAACCCTCCTTTTCTTCTTTCTAGTGGCCTAATCCAAACTGGACACAATGAACCTTCGAGCACCTGCTTTTGAAAGCCCGCCGCACGGCCACCGTCTGAACCAGCCTCTTGGTTCCCAGGACAATGGAGGGCTCTTGAAAGCTGAGAGAATGGGCCCGCCGGTGGGGTCACCGGCAGCCCCCCCAGTTATTTTGTTACTTTCTGCTCCTTGATCCAGTGTCACACAGTTCTGAGGCATCCTAGCCAAATGCCTTAATTCCGTCTGTAATCTGGGCTAAAGCCTGGTTGGGGATAAAGACCACACAAAAGGAGAAAGAGAGTCCCGGGAGATGTTAAAACAAGCAAACACCTTTGTGTCCCGGGAGAGAACTAGCTGCTAAAGCAGATTAGCGGCTGGAGCAGTGGTGTCCCCCAGATCAGAAGGCGAGCCCTGCCCCGATCTTTGCAGCCAGCACGCTTCTATGATCACAGCGCTGGCTGCATGCTGGGGCCGGCCTGTTTCCCCCAGTCGCTCCCCAAAGAGCAGATTATGGAGAATAACCATTTCTTTGTGGCTGCGTAATTCCCTCCGTGACCGTGACTGTGGGCAACTACACCGGCCCTTGATGCCAGGCCCCTAGCAACCATTTAAAGAGGCCAGCCAGCCCTAGTGATGGCCCCCCCATGCAAACCTCTCGGACAAGCTTTAACATCAAGTGCATGAATTAATCCCCCCGACATGAATCCAGGGGTGCTGGGTTATTGGACTTTGTGTTTCTCCAGGCGAGGGATCTGGGGAATCCAGCCTTCAGTCCTCACAGCCTCTCGCAATAAATTAACCCTTTCCAAGAGGGGTTTCTATCTGCCCCTCGGCAGCCCTGCACCTGTGGGCAGGTCGGGAGGTTGAAGTGTTTGCAGACTCCGGGCGGGGGGACGCAGGGGCTGTGCTCCGACACCACAGAGCTTTGGCCTTCTGCTCCCTTCCCAAGGGCAGCAGCGTCTGGATCCACCTCCCGGCCGCAGCGCTGGCCCCCACATGATCCCAGACCGCGGTGCGTTAGCTCAACGGGCACAGGAGAGAGAGCGAGGCTGCTTGGCCTTTCCTTAAGGCACTCGGGGGAGATCTGGGCTCCAATCCTGGCTTTGCCACAGACTCCTGAAAGGCCTTGGACAAATTATGTAATCTATGCCTTGGTTTTCCCATCTGTAAAATGGGGGTGATACTTCCCTGCCTCCCAAGAGCGTCTGCGAAGCACCTGGCAGGTGCTCAGACACTGCGGTGCAGGGGCCGCAGAGAGGAAAGACAGACGGAGATCCCTTTCCTGCCTGTCCAGTGACACCAGCTCAGAGAGGGCGGGGCTGAGGGAGGTTAGAGGAAAGACGCAATCCTGGGCCTTGGTCTCCAGCTGACGCACTGGAGGTGACAGACATGGGTTACAAAAGCAACTGTGTACACATGGGACTGCGATGTGGGCGTATCTGCTCCTATTAGCTCCAGCCCAGCCACTCGCGTGCGGGGAAGAGGGCCGACAGCTCCCGAGGAGATGCTCTGCCCTGACATCGCAGGCCTTCCCTGCTTCCAAACAGTCCTCCTCCTCGGCACACAAGGGAGGTGTCCAAGGCCACCCAGCAAGAGCCCCATCTCCGAATAACATGCCTTGTCCACTAGACCTCGCAGCCCCCATGGACCCGGAGAACTGGCAGGAACACATCTCCCCTGTGCAATATACCGAGGGGAGGGAGGGAAGGAAGTCAACATTTCAGAGCTTCCCAAGAGTCTGGAACTGGGAGCCAAGAGGTTCTGATTAGCTCAGAACTTGCCAGCCTGTTCCTACATTGTCTAGGGACACCGTTCGGTCTGCTGGCCAAGGCTAGCTTTTCATCCCCTCGGCCCGGCTCAGAGGACACAGCCGAGCGAAACGTGCAGTGACCTCGTCTGCACTGCGCATCTTCAACCACGCAGCCAGCCCAGTCCTGCAGCGAGAGTCCCCGGGACGCGGCAGGCCTAGCAGAGCAGACAGCATCTCTAGTTCTGATACTTGGCCCTGATATTACACTTCACACCTTCAGCAGGGCAGCAATTAACTTAGTTACCGCGGGAGAAAAGTATTGAGCACTACGTGTCCCCCTTTGATGGGTTCCTGGGGTATTTTGGGATCACAGCCCGATAGGGTAGAGCTCTGCTCTGTTCTTTCCCGCTCCCGGTGCTTGGTGTGTTACGAAGGAGACATGGCCGGTGGCACCGTCCACATGCTGCTCTCTCCCTCCCAGGCGAATGAATGCTCTGGCAGGTGCAAGAGGGTCGGGGCGAAGGCGAGCAGCCCGGCCCCGCTCTGGAAGGGCCTGAAGGAAGGTCGGGGGAAGCCCGAGCAGGAGCTGGCGCCTGGCTGGGCAGGGCACCGGTTTGCAATGCAGGGGGATGATCTCCTCGCACATACACGCTGGGGGCAGATGGAGACATCGATCCCAAGGCCAGGAGGCAGCCTTGCATCTTCCCGTCTGACCTGCACAGCCCGGGGGGGAGGGGTGGGCATTTCCTGGGATGGAGGAGCCAACGAGGCAGCGGAGTCCCTGCCCCAGAGCGTTTACAGCCACAGGAAGCCCGAATAAGCAGCCGCGAGTGCCCCTTGGTGCCAGCCCTCAGGAGCCCGCAGCCATGCCACCCTGGCAGGTGGGAACCCGCGCAGCTCTGAGCAGTGGTGGGGTGCAGTGAGGGAGAGTCATCCTTGGCCTACTCCTGCCACCAGCTCTTCAGCACCCGCTGCTCTGGAGCTGTCTGTCCCCTCCGTCAGCACCTCGCTGCTCCGCCAGCCCGGGCTGGGCCGGGGAGGGGAAGGGAAGGGGGGGAAGGTGTTGGCAGACGGAGCCCACTCAGGCTTCTCCGCTCAGACTTGAACCTGAGCCCTCCCCACTCCGAGGTGCGAAGGCGACTATCACTTGAGGTCTCAGCGACACCTCCGGGGACAGGCGGGGAGCCCCACGCTCCAGCGCCAGACGCCCAGGCTTCTTCCTGGGCGGTGAGGAAGCAGGCAGCCGGCTGGGAAAAGGGGAGCACACTGACCGCTCGTCGGGGCTGCTATCTCTGGGCAGCAGCCCCGAGCCCTGAGCACCCCCAGCTGGCTCTTGGACTGCTCGGCAGGGTTGCTTGCGTGTCCGCTGTCCCCCAACCAGCTGTTGGGGAGACCTCCCCCCCGGACAGACTGACCCTGCACAAACAGGAAGGGACAATTGCAAGCTGTGTCTGCTGGACCAAGGAGAGTGCGCGCACACACACACACGCACGTGCACACACACACACACACCTGGAGTGCTCCCTGCTTGCCTCCAGCTACCATAGCTCAAACCACTCTCCCCACAGCACAGTCCTCTGCTCTGCGGAGCGTATGGGGGAACTGGGGGGCAGCACCCACCAATGCCACCCCCGAAGGCCAATCCCTGGAACCCTTTCAGGACGGGGAGCGTTTTATCTGACCGTCATATCTCAGGGATGGGATCCGCCCGTCTCTCCTCTCTCCTCAGCTATCCCTCTAGCTCCCCTTCCTCCACCCAGTCCTTTACTGGCGCTCACCAGAGTGGGGGGCCCTGGCGAAACATGCTGAGTGCGGAGCATAACCCCGCCGTCTCGCTCTGGATCTGGGGGGGAGGGGGAATCAATGTTCTGATCAGCCTCGCTGCTCAGTCCTCTCCCCCCGAGCTGCCATCCCCAGAGCAACGCTTGGAGACGTTTACCCCCGTCAGCATCTTTCCCACACCGCGCGCCCCCCGATCCGATCGCTCCTCGGCCCTCACAGCTCCCTTGTCCACGCGACAAATGGTCGTTTGCGGACGGGCTTGTGCAAAGCGGGGCCCTGGTG